ATGATTGGCCATACTGGTGCTTACAAAATTCTTTGCAGCTTCAAAATAAATAGTTCTTGTAAATTTTCACTTGTCAGGATAAATACTGGTAGATGTGAAGCCAATTTTTGTTTAATTCTCCTTTTCGAAAAGTGCAGTTGCCAACATGTCAAGTTCCGTTGACTATACATGTGTGTCTGGTTTTGCTTTGTTTTCAGGATTATTGAAGTTTCCTTTAGCTTCAGTGAAGTTCTGTACGTGGAGTGCAGTTCTTCAGTCTATCTGACTTTCTCAATAATCCCAGTGCCTTTGTTTTTAAATACCTAACCTTCGTGACATCTTGTTGTCTAAACACATTGTGTTATTCACATCATGTCTTTTAATTAAAGGTACGGTAGATCATTTGTCATTGTGCATTTTTGTTTTGTTCGAAGCAAAAAAGTGCTCCTAATCTAAAGTTGGATGCTTAACAACTAACCTGATGAAGTTTTAGCTCTGTGAATGATGTATATTCTGAAAAAACAATATTCTAGGATCTCAATTTCAATTCAAAAGTTCATATTTTGCCATGACATATTTTGAATTGCGGATTGCAGCTTTTTGGGATGCAACCGTGCTCGAGTGTGCGTCGTGTCAACGCTTGCGTGCACCCATTCACAGATTCGCCCAATTACAAACCAACTACTGATGGTAATTTCCAAAAGTGTGTCACTTGACATATCTTTGGAAGTGACCTTCTTTTATTGTTTTCTTCAAAATGACAGCATACCAGAAGGAATAATATCACAGGGAGTCTAGTGTCATTACAACGTTATCTTTAGACACAGCTTTTTAAAAACAATTTGGTCAGTAAATTACTGGATAGCTGCAAATGATCTGCTCTGCCTTAATAAGATCAATCAGTCTGCAGTTTACGGAGAACCAAATAAAATCACACACAGAATTCCAGCAAGAGTGTAATTTCCTTGTGACAAATTTCGCAACTGATTTTTGAGCTAGTAAATTAATTTGCCAAGCAATATCTTGAGCTTGGTAGGTCTGTGAAATGTGGTCCAGAACTCTAGTATCCTCGTTTCTCACGACAGCCCCCTTCATCAACTATCATCATCATCGTCATCATCACCGACTATCATGCCCCCCCCCCTACCAACGACCCAACCGTTCCGAGACTCCCCGGCATCAAGCATTGCACCTTGCAGCCCCTGGCGATTATTACTCCCCGCATTTCAAGTTTCGCATAATCAAAAGCTGTACAAACGCTCATTTTGCATTACTGTGCCTAATGGCACAAGCAGCATCAGTGTGTCCCCGGTATATGCGCAGGCCCGTGCCTTTCCTTTGCGACGTACGCCACGCGGCTAATCAAATGTGTACTTGTTTCCTCCAGCTTATACGCGCATCGCTGGCGCCCGGGTTTTTCATGGGGGCAGGGGAGATAAAAACCAAAAGAAGACTAAACAAAATCGGGGGAGAACGGGAGATGGAGCTGGGTGAATCATCTTGCTGGGATGATATATGCAGGGGCCCCGAATCGGAGTCTCTGTTGAGAAAAAAATGGACCCCACTAAAAAAAAGAAAAAAACGTGCCATGAAAATTCAACGCGGAGGGTCATTTCGTTCCGCGGCAGCTGCCAGGTTGCGTATCGCGTGTGGCGGACGGGCACTCATGCAGACGTGTTCGCGGAAACCAGACAAGTGGGGACCTGTCAGTCATCGGAAGAACCGTCTCTCCTTTTACCATGACGATGGTTTTTGTGAGTTTTTATGTTTTCCCGACAGAGGGGGAAAATTGTGCAATTTAAAACCAAGGTCTTGTCAGAAACGCTGATCCAGGAGGCCATTAAAATTCAAAAGTATGGAAATTATTCAAGCAAATTGTTTTATAACGTATTTTCATTTGCTTTCTGATAATTTTTTTTTTTTGCTTCAGAACTGTAGCATGAAAATATATACATTGTTAAATTTTGAGTTGTGTTATGGACCATACCTTGGTTCCAGATTTGTGCTTATCACAACATACTGTTCTCTATTTCCAAAGATCCTACCGGTACTTTAATAAAGAAAAGATATTAATTATGTTCTGGTAATAAAACCAAGGAATCCTCAATATTTGCACTGTAGCTCGCAAGCCTGAAGAAACCTGTAGAGAAAAGACAATGAGAAGAAATTACAGTTTTAGATGTGGGAGGAAAACCCCAGAAGAACATTCTGGGGAAAATCCACGGAATCAGGTAGGGACTGAAAACCCAAACCACATGTGGACAAGGGCAGGAATTGAACCCGGGTCACAGCGGTGGAAGGCGAGGAAAGAAACGCTACGCCAACCTGACTCCCCACTTTTTTATGATAAAAATTTTGTAATACAATAGTTGTAATTGAAATGCTTTCTTAAAAGTTACGAAAGCAGCTAGCTTTCATTGAAACTGTTTAGTGACGTGTACCGGTAGATCACTTCATTCTTGAGAAATCTCAAGGAGTAAAAAAAAATTACATCGGCCGTGATTTCATTTATGAAATATTCATGATGACAATCCACGCGACACAAGCCCCGCAATTAATTTCTCCCCCGGAAAACGTTTAATCTACAGGATTTTGTCTCAAAGTACCCCTGGTGCGGCCAGAGCACCACTTGTCCTCGTGTCTTTTTCGTCCGTGGCCAGAGCTCGCTCGTCTTGTTGTCACGTCAGGTTCCCCTCCCATCCCCTGCACTCGCATCTTCAGCTTCCAAATCCTTGGGCCTTTAATAGGAGACTGTCATTGATTGCGGCCACTCTCAGCGAAATTGATTTATCAATTTCGTCTGAAAAGGACTGGAACTGTTGCCGGGGTCGTCATGCCGAGCTGCCAACCACCCCCCCCCCCCCTTTCCCCCCTCCTCACCCCCGTGCCAAAAAATCATTGCAAAAATCATTGTGTCGTCATTTACGGGGTGTAATACATGTTGATTTGTGCCGGCAATCAATCGAAGCCTGGCCTTATTAGAGAAGATTGGACGAGACGTGAACGGCAACTACAAAATGACAAGCTTGCGCGGAGCACGAACTTGACAGAAATTAACCGGGCTGAGAAAAAAATAAGCACTTTCTTGCACCATGCTCGGGTGTGACTCTAGAATCCAAAAGTGAAAAAAAAAGTAATTTTTTTTTTTAGGAGAAATTAGGTCGGGAAGGGAACTTCCCAAAGTGGCAAAAAAATATATGAACAAAAATCAGGTTACTTATTGGACTCTGTGCATGAACCCACGAGGGCGCTACGTAATGTACATGTGAAGGACTCGTCACTGGTTCACATGCACTGTTCACCATTTATAATGTTGTAAGTGTGTGGCAACATCCATCAAACCCATTGTCGTTCTTTTCGGATGCTCTTTATCATTTTCTTTACTTTCATGTGGAGCCCATCATGATCACACACCAGACACATGTGTACATTCATACACTTTGATCAGCCCAATCAGGTTGTACCGGTACATGTACATGTAGTGATAGTGGTTGTTTGTTTGTGGACAAGTTTTTACTATGATGATTTTTCTGTTGATTCAGAAGACACATTTAAAATCTTGGTCAGATTTTGTGGGATTTTATAGATTTATTTTTGTGTTACTGAAGAATTCAAACCATGAGCCAATTGGCAACCACGGCCAAGATTGGCGTTAATTGCTACTGCACGCGGCATTTTCAATGGTGTTTGCAGAGTAACGAGTGGACAGATTGGTGCTTTACTGAAATTATATGTTTTCAAGTGTAGTCAAAAAGATGAATGTACACAAAGACAGAGATACATACATGTACGTACTATCACAGTGGAAGCAGCAATGTTTAAATGAAGAAAAAAAAAGTAGTAGGAATAGCAGATGTGTGTTAATACTTGTGGCATATTAGACAAATCGGCATAACTTTACAAAATTTGTACAGGGATAAAATTGAGGGATATATAAAGCAAAGAACGGGATGGAACTGAAACAGAATCCAATGTTGGGAAGAACTGGTCCGTGGAGTTTCGGCGGCCGAAACCTCAGACAAAATTAAAACCGATTGCCAGGTCAGCGTACTTGTGCCCGGAGCACTGACATTGAGTAGATTCACGCTCATTGCATTTGGCGTTCTCTTGCCCCCAAGACACAAATCAGACACTGGTAGGACGGTGCGCACGAAGGCCGGTAGGTGTTTTTCACCCTCTGTTGCTAAATTAGGCCAAGTTTTGGAGGGGGGGGGGGGCTGTTGTATTGGAAGAACTGCATTCAGTTATTGGGGGGGGGGATTTTGAAACTTCGGTTCTGGCTGCTCTTACCAATTTTTAAAGATTTTGATGTGAATGATGCATGTAGGCTGCAACTGTGGCTTAACTTTCAGGCTTTAATGTATCTAGTGTTCAGGCAAAATGAGACAACTAGGCAGAGGTCGAAGTGAGGGTTTGTTGGTATTAGGAAAGAGAATAAGATTCTCCTTATAATACTGTTTATTGCACTCCAGTCGGGCATTCCGTTGACATGTCAAAAAAGTAAAATACTGAAGGAAGGCCTTTTAAAAGTTTGACATATTTTATTTGAATATTCGTCAATAAAAAGGCCACAAATTGTGTGACTGCTTTTTGGTCTCACAAACCTGTATTATCTTGGTATAAGAATTGAAGAGTTGAATGCTGGAAATGTTTTCAGGAGATGGGGGTCTGAAATGTAATGACCATGTCCCTAGAAATTGATTCGTCTGCTGGTTTTGTTTTTGTCGAAAATTCTGCTGAATTCTGTTGCCCACTAACACAACATTTGAGTGTTGCTCAGATACAGTACTTGTAAACTTTCTTATTAACAGAAATTTTGTTTGTTATTGTTGGATTATGTTTGTTTTTTGCTGTTTACTCTCCTCGCTATTTTTGTTTGTAATTAACCAAAATATTCCTCTGTGCATTTTTATATTTTCCGCCTATTTTTGACGTCACAATTTGTCCATCTTCTATTTTTTGTGTGATTTCCTTCATCCTAACTTATGTGTTCCCTTTTTCTGTTTCTCCCGTTTCCATAGTTACACACACAAGACCTGCAGGTATGTACCTCTACCAAATTTTGTTTTCTTTTCTAAAAATCAAGACATATTTTGTGGCGAGGAAACCACGGGAACTGTGTCACTTTCCCTTTTTAGAAGCAGGCGACTTTAGTTCTGAAAAAAAAACAGGCGCCACTGTGATCTTAAATCAGAAGTGACAAAGAATATGAAGGAGGAGACTTTAAGGAAGAGAAAACGAGTGCTAAAGAATTTTGAACTCTTCAAAAGATTTTGTAAACAAAATCAAGAATTGCAATCTTTTCTTTAGTGTGTACAATTTTAAAAACAATGTTTGGCACATTTCTGTGACAGAAATTTCAACTGTTCAATTTTGAAAAAAAAAAAAACCAAACAAACCCCCAAAACCTTCAAACTCTTAAAAATCACCAGATCTCTGTTGCCTGCTCTGCTGATCCAAATTCATTTGCCATATTTTTTTTTTTGGGGGGGAGGAATTCGGGGGATTAGTTGCCCTTAAGGTTTTGGTTTCTCAAATTAATATTCTGCATGCAGTTTTTGTGGTTCTTTTTTGGTTATATTTATGTTGTCGCACTTTTCTTGATGTTTCCACCTACCTTGTATTAATTTGGCTGTTTGTCTATCTAATGAAGTACATGTAGCCTTTACGGTACATAACGCTTCTCACAAAATGGTCAAATTCCATAAAGGTTTATAGCAAATTCATTAACTTTGCAGTCTCTGTTCGTTTTGGGTTGCCTTTTTAAGAATACACATAGTCCTTCAGAAATGTTCATCAAAATCCTTAGAGTTTTTGTGCTAATGCACTGTACACACATAGTGCTCAAGAAATATCTAGTAGTTCTCCAATTTTCTTTTTTGAGCTTTGAACTTTTGGTGTAAATACATTGGAAAACACAAGAAACTACACAAGAACACACTTATACGAATTGTATTCTTTCGCATATCTCCTGGACTTGAGTTTTTAAACTGGACATGAGTTTAAAAAGCAGGTCGGAAATTTGAGTTAAAGTTTTGTTTGAATTGTAAGAAGTAGGCTTTGTTGGTTTTAAGCACCTCGTGATCCGAGGTCTTACATTTGTTGATAATTTTTTTTTAGCGAAACATGTCTTTCAAGTACTGTACAGTAAGAGCAACTGAAGAGGGTATGCCGTAGCAGTGGTGGAAGAGGTGCTGCTGAAGTTAGTGAGAAATTGCACAGCCACCGAAAAAAAAACCCACACACCTACTTCTAATGTCTCACAGAATGTTCCAAGTGTCGTAACAGAAGAATCTGTATAGTGTGCTACCAGGCGTCAATAATTCACAGCCCATCATTCTGAAATATTAATGAGTCACTGGGGAGTGGGGATTCAGCCAGCCTGGACAATGGCGCGTCCGTGAAGGGAAGAACAATGGCGCTTTTGTATCCCCCGGTGTTGCGCCGCGGCGTGCAGCCGGAGTCACAGGAGTCAGGGATGTTGTGGCGTTATGGTGGTTTCTTCGATGTGTGTTTTTTCGCCTCTTGTTGTTGGCGGTGGTCATGTTTGGGGAGACTTCGCAGTTGGATAGTATTGTTAAGATGAAAAGGGGGATTATGCGGCAGCATTTGTGACGAGAAGAGGACTTTTTGACACGTCGGGAGGTTTAGGCTGTGATATTGATTAATTCCAAAATTATTCTAAGTTGACCTTTCTGTTAGCGGGTATAATTTTTGGGATCCATTCTGTTTCAGTTTTGAAGTTTTCACCTAACAAAGGTCATGGATGTACTGAACAGATGGAAATGGTTGATTCCTAATTGTTAGTCCCTCCAGAAACCTCAAGTTTACAGAAAACATATGACATGTTCTTTATATTTTGAAATTTGAAGGGAACTAATCCCAATGTATAGAAGTGGTGGTTGCGTAAATGTTTCACTTTTTTTTCAAATGGATATATTGCGCTTTGGAAATACGGTACATGTAAACTCTTTGGTTTGAGAGCAAGTGGACAATTAGGGTCAAATTGAAGTAAAAGATAGAAAAGGACTTGCTCGTAGAACTATCTGGATTTTGAGTGGACAATCTTAAGAGTGTGGACAAATTTCCCTCTTGATCGACGCTCGTAATTCTTGACCCTTCTCCAGGAATGGCGCGAGCTTAAGTCAATATTGACGGCCGGCTTATCATGAATTTTTTTTAAACTAAATCTAAAGTTGATCAACCCATGGCATCTTATGGTGGGCCATTCCAATCCCCTCCCTAAGCGATCATTAGTACACACGGTCCTCCCTGGGGCAACGCTGGTTAAATATGCAGAACCACACTCCCAAATAAATAAAAAATTCCACCACTTTTTTTCCCCCCGTTCCTTTCTCCCTTTTTTTTTTTTTTTAAAAACGTCGTCCTCCAAGAGATAGTTGGAAAAGCGGGAACTGAGGTTGGAGGGGGGAAAGAAATAAGCATCTAGTGTAGTCTATCAAGTTCATCTACCTAAGGTAGTGCTATTCAATTCAGCACGATCGCCGTGAAAGGTGACCTTTTTCTCAAACCTTCTGCCGGAGAATTGGCCGGGTCGGGTTACGGCGCGATCTCCATATTTGCCGTCCCCAGGCCATTAGCGTCCCTGCGTACATTTCCTCCTTGCCGCAGTCCGTGCACTGTGTTTTTTTTTTTTTTTTCCTTTCCCGGTTTTTTTTTTTTTTTTTCCTCTCCGTTTCTTGTCTCTGTCTCTCTCTTTCTCCCTTACGAGTCCACCGGTCGGATATCGTTGGCGCTTAATGGCCCGGTAACGCATTCCGGGCACGTGCGGTGGCTCGGGTGAAATGCACGCGGTTCAGATGCGCGCACAAGGGGGGGGGGGGGTCTCCACAGGAACTCTTGGGCCCTGGCTGATGGCTTCCTGAATTGGGGATATAGGTGCTGGCTCCCCGGTCGGTGTGGGGCTACTCATTGGGTAAACAGAGGGTCCTTCATTGCGCATCGATGGGGGGAGAGAACCCTTCTCGCATCCGATCGAGACGGGCTAAGGAGGCTCGTAGGGGATACCTTTTATAGACTGTGTCTTATTTCATTGTGTGTGTGTGTGTTTGTTCTCAGTGGATCAATCCCTACAGTTGTTTCCTTGCGTTTTGGCATTAAAGGGCCCGCTAGGGTGTGTGTTGTGGCTAAAATCGAACCAGTGGTTGAACCAAGTTCATCCTATTCTGTCCCCGCACTTCAGTGTGTATACATCAAATTTCAAGGAAAATCAACCCATAAATTTGAAGGGCTGTAAAGTTTACTGCAAGTTTAAGGCACATTTAGTTAGGATTTTTTTTTCTTGTAGTGTTGGTATTCATCAGCAGTTTCATTTCTAACGATGATCAGTTTTATAAAGAATTTTATACCATTTGTTGAAAGTGCTACAGTGTAACAACCTCCTTAATTTCAAAGAAAATATGTCGCCCAAGCTCAAATCTTGAGATAAAAATAGGTAATGTACGGTATTGCTTTCACAGACACACTCCAAACATGATCAAAAGAAAACAAATTTGTTCAAGTTTTTGGCAGTTTTGGACATGCATTAGCTGTGAAAATGGTTCATGTGCTGTAATGTTTTGCAGTTTGAAGATTTTTTTTTTGGAAGTTCGACCTGGTTTTTAGATAGGGACGTATTCCGAACTCCATTTGTGAAATTTCTACATCTTCAAAATTCTGTAAATCAAAACTGTTGTTTCATGGTTTGAATTACTCTTTGAAGAGTGTGACCTCCCTGAAGTGAAGTTCTCAGACCTGAAGTCTGAAAACTCCACTTATGTAATGCACCTAGTCAGAGTCCCTTTGTGGTTTCTTTGACAATTTGTAAATTAAAAAGCTGTACCCTCTCAATCCTCGTTTGCTATGTCCCAGGTTTGCAGCATTGCTAATGCTGCTATTTTGTAGCATTGTGATTTTGGGTGTGATCCCTCTGACTACATGGCTATACGGGTTTATGTTTTCTGACAGGCGCCCCTTGAACAAAGACATTGACAAAATGGGGAACTGCCAACATAGGGCTGGATAGCTCAGTTGGTAGAGCACCGGAACGGCAATCTGGAGGTCGCAGGTTCAAACCCATTCCAGTCCATATCTTTGTTCAACTTTAAAATTATCAAACTTCTCTGGTGTTGCAAGAACAGGACATCATATGTAGAAACTCGAGAGGAACGAGAGTGTGATACAGTGTGTGAGCGCTGTGGTCCAGTGGTTACGGTATTGACTCATGGGGTTCGAACATGCTGCTTGTGTTCTTGGGCAAGACACTTTACTACAATTGCCTCTCTCAACCCAGGAGTGTAAGTGGATACCTGTGAAGTTAGAGACCAGATTGCGCTGATCCCGAGCTTTGGCAGAAAAAAATGGTATCATGGTCTGATGAACAATTGTGGAGCACTTTGAGACCTTCGGTATAGAGCACTGCTAACCCACCTCACTCCTCCAAAATCCTCCTGGCGGTTTTGGAGGATTCTAGAGGATTGAGGATGAATGGTGATTGAATCAAATGAGGATTCTGGAGGATTGAGGATGAATGGTGATTGAAGCACATGAGGATTTTGGAGGATTGAGGATGAATGGTGAATGAAGCACAAGAGGATTTTGGAGGATTGAGGATGAATGCATTTTGAGGCAGGACTGTCTGATGATTTTGAAGGATTTGGCGTTGGTTATCCTTCATTTAAACACGAGTGCAAAGTTTTGGGATGAGGAGGATTTTGGAGGATTGAGGATGAATGCATTTTGAGGCAGGACTGTCTGACAATTTTGAAAAATTTAGCCGGAGTTGAAAAATTTTAGAGGATTTTGGAGGATTGAGGATGGTTGTAAGCAACAAGGGCCTAGGGGGTTAGGGTTAATGGTCACAAGTATGTTTGGTTCCATACCAAGTGAGGATTTTGATTTTCTCTCGAGTCCTGGCTAGTCAGACACTTGTGGAAATGGCAAGAACCATCGGTTTCCTTTTTTTCCCCTCTTCTTCTTCTTCTTCGTCGTCCATTTCCCCTTAGGCCAGCAGGCACTTACAGTGACATGTTGGGAGAGAAGA